GCAGTAATGGCTGTGGCCGCAGCTCATCCCCACTGGCTGCCAGGACAAAGTGTATTCGGTGTGATTTAACACTACTGGCTTGACCGGAGAGGCACCACCAGACTCCCCCATTTGTCTTTTGACATTTCGTCGTGAAATAGTTTTACGGCTTATGCAGTCGTATTTCTCATGTTCTCCCTTTATGAGTCCCTGGTCTTTGGAACATTCTTGGGAGGCTTCCTTGCCAAGTACAGGCCGTTTAAATTATCTATGAGAGAACAGGATGCTTGGGTATTGAACTCATTTCAACCAGCTTTCTGAGGCTTCACTGTTGCCTGTCTCTATTTTGTGTTCGTTAGCAGCTGGCTGCCCCCTAGCTAAAAACCCGGGCAGTAAGGGTCTCTCAAGATGTAAGAGGCCGGTCCCTGAACACAGTGAAGGTGTTGTTCTTGCAATAGGTGTCTCCATGCTGGAGGTAGGACCGGATTCCAGCGTGGCACAGGGACCGTACTGCAGGGATCTGAACTCACACCGCCTAGAGTTGTGACTCAGCACTTCACCTCTCTGCTTCTAGGCAACTGAGCCTCGAGGTTCTTCCATGTCAATGGGAGGAATAGAAACACCGGCAGCAGTGTGCAACTCACACGACTGACCCCAGTGAACTAGCCCACGGAGTGCAGGACTTTCACATAGAGGAAGTAACTGCCTTACAACTGCCATTTACACGGAAGAAGTGGCTCCCCATTAGGGCCGAGTCTCTTCTAGAAGACCCAGGTTAGAGACCCAGCATACACATGGTGGCCCACAATCCTCAGTAACTCCAGCTCTAGAGGATCTGATGCCCTCTTCAGGCTTCCACAGGTACTGTTGGCACGTTTGCACCAAGTACATAGGCACACATGCAAGCAAAACACCCATTCATATACTCTTTGTTGTTGTTTCTCAAGACAGGGTTTCTCTATAGCTTTGGAGCCTGTAGACCAGGCTGGCCTCAAATTCACAGAGATCCACCTGCTTCTGCCTCCCGAGTGCTGGGATGAAAGGTTGCACCATCACTGCCCGACAACACAGCATTTTTTAAAATGAAAAAATTGAAAGAATTCCATTTACGGTAATTTTCTGGGCCAGTGGCCTGGGCAGGGCCAATGGGAGCTTGGATGTGAGATCATTACACAAGTTTCCCAGACAGCTTTTGTTTTCCTTCCTGCTGTTGGGGGAGACTCGGCTTACGCACTGAGCTGCAATGGGGAGGCTGGAGTCAAGCCTGGGTAAAAGGCCAACAAAACATGGATTCCATGGTTTTGTGTATTTTTTGTTTTGTTTTGGTGTTTTTTGTTTGCATCATTTGGTATGGTTTGTTTGCATTGATTTTCATCTTGTTTTGAAAGAAAGAACACAAAGTTCGGTGGGTATGGATGTGGGGAGGATCTGACAGGAGTTGGGGGAGGGGAAATGACAAAAATACATCACATGGCCGGGTGTTGACAGCACATGCCATGGGTTCAGCATCTCAGGGAGCAGGGCAGGAGGAAAGCGGACCCTTGGCCAAATATCCTGCTAGTTTATCAACATGGTTGTAGGTGGAGTTTCTTTCCAGCCTGGCCAATGGCCAATCAGTGTTTTATTCACCATATACACAGAAGGACATCCCCATCACAGGGCTATTAAAGGACTTTGGTCTGAATTCAGCCAAGTGGGCATAGTGAAGACTAATACAAAAGGGAGGAGAGTGAGGCAGACGGGGCGGGGAGGGAGGAGAGATGAGGAGAAAATGGAGGAAGAAGGAGAGTCTGGGGTGAAGAAGAGCAGGGGTGGTGAGGGGGTTTCCCAGAGCTGCTACTGATAAAATCCTGATCTCTCTCCTGTCTCTTCCTGGGGTTCTCTCACCCTTGTCTTACTAGCTGGTGTGAGCACACACACACACACACACACACACACACACACACACACACACCTGCACTGCTGGGAGAGGGGTTGCCTTGTGGTATTGATAGTGTCAGCGAGGCCACCAAAATAGTGGCCTCATCCAGCCCCAGTCTCCCCTACGGGTCTCTTCTCCCTTCCAGGGTCAGGCTGAGCTATGTCCCCTTAAGCTGCCTTTAGAATGCAAAAGTCTTGGTTCTGCCCTGTGTCCAGGAGAAGAAGGTGGGGCTGGTGCTCCGTGATTCTCCAAGTTGTGTTTACCCAGAGCCTAGGACACCTAGGGGGGTCTATCCCATGGGTCACATTTCAGACACATCCTCACCCGTTAGGTCCCCGCCTGGCTACAGAACTACTACATCCAGCTGACATTTATCTGAACTCCCCAGAAAGACCAGCATAAGGAGGTGACACTGGGGGGTCCTACTGAGACTCGTGCAGTGTTGCCATTCAGCATGGTACCTGCATGGCCCTCCCCACCCCCACTCCCGGTAGCTTCCCTGTCTCTACTCCTGTCATCCTCCCATGATTTTTACTCTTAGAGTCAGGGAAAGTTGGGGTACTGTTCTCAGCCCCCTGCCTTTGCCCATGATGCTGTACTGAATGGGGGGGTCACAACTAGCCCCAAGTCTCATCCAGCAACCAGTCCTCAACTAAAACCAGAAAGCAGGAAAAGATTTAGTCAGTGTGGTCATATTGGGAAGAGGGGCAAACAGATTCAGTGACACCGACACCACGCCCCTGCCAAGTCCATCTTTTAGATATGCACATCTAATCAGGCTCTGATTCCAAGTTCAAGAACAACTTTTACTTTCCCTCAGCAGCAGAGCCTCCACAGACTATCAGGAAAGCCTCTGACCCCCTCCCTCCCCCCTCCCCCTCCCCCCTCTCTCCCTCTCTCCCCCTCCCTCCTGCTCTCTACTTTCCTTCCTCCCCTCCCCTCCCTCCGTCCCTCCTTCCCTCCTTCTCTCCCTGCCTGCCTCCCTCCCTCCCCTTTGTCCTTCATTTCTCTTCTGCTTTGCCCATAGCCCAGGTTTAGCCTGTGTGGGGCCTATGATGACTGGCTGTCACATACCTTTGGGGCCTTAGGTCCACCCCCATCCCCTACCCAGCACCCAGAAGGACCCAGAGCCTCTCCAGCCACTGTCTACATAGCCCAGCCAGGACCTGCTCTTCACACACACTCCAGGGGAATTAGTGTCCACTATACAGAGTCCACATATTTATTCTGACTAGTAAAATGCCTGATCTCCCCTGCTTCTCTCTCTCTCTCTCTCTGTGTGTGTACAGAACTGAGTATATATACTGTATAGTAAGTTCATTTGTATAGTGTAGAGGCGTGTATATTAATGTGTGTAGCTATTAAGAACCCAGATTTCTGATGCATGAGTCATCAGTTGGGGGTAAGTGTTGGGAAGAAGCTGCCCATAAATAAGACACCAGTCCCTGACTGGGCCTGGTGGCTGGGGCTGGGGCTCGGGCTGTCTTTTTCCTCTAACTGCAGGACATACCACTCACAGGTATTGGGAGCTTGCTTGGAGACTCTGAGATTTAAGGATGTAACGCCTGCAATGAGTTGGGGCTGAAAGACCATTTCCAGGGATTCCAGCAGGGGTTTACGGCGCGGACAGGCAGAGAGATCCATTCATTGTACAGATACTTTTGAGAGTCGGTCATGCAGCTGCCCCGGGGGCTGGGATACCATCGGGAATGCAGCTTCGGAACTCTCCCCTCGCCAAGCTTATTCGGTCCTGGGAGAGGCAGAAGCTAATGAGGCAGAAAAGGCTACTTTTAAAGGCCAAGAAATGAACGGGATAATCACACGGAAAATGACAGACAGGGAAGAGCAGGGTATCAGCTAGGCCTAAATGTTGAGGATGGGCTCTATGGAGAAACTTCCAGAAAAGGATGTGTGAAGTGTCTCTGCCCCCACTCACACCTTCCAGGACGCTGGATCACAGTGGCTAGAGTCAGATTAGAGAGTGAGGGATGATTTAGGAAGGCTGTTGTAGGTGGGATGGGATGGAATATTTTCTCCCAGACCCAAGTAGGAGAATGACATCCTGGTTCCCTCCTGCGGTTGCAGCACTGGAAGAGTCAGGCGAACCGGACCATTACAGAAGACCCCTTCCTCCAGGAAGTCACCTTCATTGACCATAGGCCTTACCCCTCCTCCGCCAGTCAATGTTTTCCAGCTGACCGAATCAGTCAGCTTGGAACCGATCACTCTCTCATGGTTTGTACCCGGTCTCCCTCAGCTTGGTTCTAGTCTTGTGGTTCTCTGGTCTTGAGCACGCAAAGGCACACAGTCAGTAAACCGGTCTGACTGGGGTTTTGGTTGGGAGCTCATGATGAGCGAAGGGGAGGTGCCTGTATTCCTCATTACAACTGTCTTGAGCCATCATCCACACACCTTTGAGCGATTTAACCTGTGCCAGGCCTTGTACCCGGGGAACCTCCATTAGTGCTACCTCGCCACTCCCTGGCTTCGGACACCCAGCGCTGTGGAGGTCCTGTTCCTCTTGTTTTCAAGTTCTATGTCCCAGGATAGGAATACGCTCAACCTCTGGAACCCCGTCTGTTCCTGATGTCACGTCCCGAGCGGTGCCGCGCCGGAGACCTCCCACCCCCACCCTGCCCCCACGCGCCGTCCAGAACTTGTGGCCAGCGGGAACGCGGCTCGCCCCGGGGCCACATCTGGCAGAGCGGGCGCGCGCGTGTCACTAAGACGCTCATTCACCGGCGCAGCTGTCGCCATAACAACCGGAGCCCGGGAGTCCTGGCGACGCTGGGGCGGGGGTTTGGGGGCGACGGCCTCGGGAGGGACCCGGCTGGAGCTGGGGGAGGTCCGCAAGAGCCGGGCGCTGCAAGCTCACCCGCGGGCGGGAGGGCGCCACGCACGTCACCGTGGCCGTCCCCGCGGGCGGGGATCGAGCCCGCTGCCGAAGCTCTGAGCAGCCGCGCGCCGAGCCCCGACTCTATGGCCCGCGGGGAGCGCGCCGCCGCTGCGCCGCCCACCCGCAGCCGGAACCCGAGCTCCAGCGCCAGGCAGAGCGCAGCGGCGCGCGCCGCGGCCCGGGGCCCAGGGGCCGGGCCGCCCGGGGCGCGGGGCATGGGAGCCCGGTAGCCAGGTTGCACGAGGATCCCCGCGGTGGGCAGGACCCGCCGAGCGAAGACCGCCAAGCCCAGGGAGAGCCAGAGACAGCGAACCGCCCGCCCCCGGCCGCAGCCCCGCCAGGGCCCTCCCCCGGCGGCGCGCCCCCGCGCGCGCACACACTTGCACACCTTTCCTCTGCTCCTGCCCAACGTCGCCTGGCCCACGCTGAAGCACCCCTGGGGGTCCGATGCCATGGGTAACAACTTCTCCAGTGTCTCCTCTCTGCAGCGAGGAAACCCGAGCCGCGCGTCGCGGGGCCACCCTCAGAACCTCAAAGGTAGGTTTCGCTCCACCGGGGTGCAGCTGGAGGGCTGCAGCGCGGATGGAGAGGTGGGCAGAGGTGCGGTTGGGGAGGACCCGCAGGTGCCACCTGTTGTGTGCATTTGGACAGCGGGACAGGCGCTTCTGGCAGTGGAGGTGGGCTGGGGTAGCAGCTGATGAGTGCTGATTATGGAAATGAGGGAGGATGGCGGTCGGTGGGGGGTCTGCGCAGTTCTCCCTGTCTGCCCTGGCAACGAACGTCATTAGAGTCCCCTCCTGTTATGCTAGGCGTAAAGAGGTGGGAAAGGCATTTGCGGGGTGGATAGGGCAGTGTGGAAGAAAACCCAGGTTCTCCAGCTGAGCTTCCCAAGGGAGTCATCGTGGTCTTCTTTGTATCTACCTTGGGCTGGAGAGATCCGGCTGGAAGCACTAGTTGCATTTCCAAGCAGAGGGTCTTAGAGATCCGTCACTAAAAGGGCAAGAGTTGATGGTGTGCGCCCCCCCCCTCCGCCCCCGGTCTTCTGCAGCGGGTGATCTTTTGCACCGACTGAATCAGCTTGGTTTTTCAGTTTACCCAAAGACAAAATATCTGGGTTGAACCCTAGAAAGAGGGGTGGGTAGCTTCGAGATGGATTTACCTTCACCGGCAAGGTTTGCTATGTCCCTCCATTCTTCCAGCATTCTCTGGGGGAGGCGGTAGGCTCAGCCCCAGGCTCCACAGCTTTCAACATGTCTCTGACCTTTGGAAGATGCTGCTAGGTTCTCCCAGGCGCTTGAGCCCAGCTAATTCGCTCCAGAAAGCTGCTTTCCCATTATCATCAGAGCCAGTTGCCCATAGTTCTAGGGGGGCATAGTGATAGCTAAAAACTCCAGGGCTTTGCAAACAGCATCAATTAAAATGCACAACAAGAAACAACATAACCCACTTCCTCAGTCTCCCGGGATGTGACTGGGGTAGTTGTAGTGCACTTTAACCCAGAGCCTTGGTTTTTACAAAGACCATTCGCAGACGTCCTTTCGGGAAGTGCAGAAGCTTCTCTGGTTAGTCAGCAGAAGTAATCATATCCATTTCATAGATGAGGGGACCTGAGGTTTGTTTCCATTTCCAGAGTCAGTAAGAATCAGAGACAGAGTCAGGATTCCAGCCCTAAGGGCTCGGAACTCCATCTCCTGTTTTCCAGGCAATAAGATGGAGAAGGGATGCTAGCCGAACCACTGTCCTGCACTCTAACTAACTCCATCTTTCAGAACCTCACCTCCACTAGGAAAATCAGTGGGTCGTAGTGGATTCATGGAAACCAATATGGTGATACATGCACAGGCCCTTTGGAGTTATGTTTGCTGACCTTGTAATTCCTTGAAGAACTGATGTGAGGAAATGGAGACACAGGCGGTACTTACATCGTTAGGCTAGGATGCTCATGACAGTGTCATTTAGGATAGAAAAACAAGGAAATGCCAAGGAATCATGGTATCAACCCTTGGGGGAGGATGTGCAGTCACTATTTTCAAAGACTGATGACTTGGGGGAAGTGATCGCAGCATAAGAACAGTATGCAAAGCTATGAAGATTTTGTGATCCCCACCCCTTGTGGTCCCCATTTTGTTAAAAGGAAAAACCAACAATCACAAAACAAGAGTCGAAAAGGAGCATTTCTTAAAGGCTCTGGGTAACGAATCATGGAATTTCCCTTCTTTTTTATTTATATTTTCTTTTCTAAAATGTGTGCAATAAACATGCATTGTTTTTAAGTTAGTTTCATACATGTGTATAACACATCCTCATTATTCTCTTCTCTCAGCATCTTTTACTTTCTACCACCTTTCTGAGTCCGCCCTCCTCCCTACCGGAACCTTTTCTAGGGTCGTGATTTGTTTATTTTGTTGTGCAACCCATTTTTTTTTTCTTTGAAATCCAGGGCCATCTGTGTGACCTGTGGGTTGGGGCTATGTACTGACATCTGGTGGAGTCACTAGCAGATGCACCCCTGAAGGCAGTAATTCCCCCCTTTCCCTGGATCTGTCCGTAGGACATAGTTAAGAAGTGAGCAGTGGCCGGGTGTTGGTGGCGCACGCCTTTAATCCCAGCACTTGGGAGGCAGAGACAGGCGGATCTCTGTGAGTTCGAGGCCAGCCTGGTCTACAGAGAGAGTTCCAGGACAACTTCCAAAGCAATACAGTGCAATCCTGTCTCAGAGAGAGAGAGAGAGAGAGAGAGAGAGAGAGAGAGAGAGAGAGAGAGAGAGAGAGAGAGAGAGGAGAGAGAAGTGAGCGGTGGAGCCCTCTGAGTCCTTCCTCTGTGCTTGGCTGTTGATTTGTGAGCAGACCCAGGGCAGTCCTCTGTAGTTGTTGAGAGAGCTCATGGCTTCGATGGCTACGCACTCCTGAGAAGATGGCATTTCACAGTTTTCCCGTATTGAGCCTCTTACAGTCTTCCTGCCCCCTCTTCCTCCGTGTTCCCTAAGCCTTGGAGGGAATGATGCGAATGTCTTATTTGGGACTGAGCATTTAGCTGTCACTTATTCCTGGCACGTTGTGAAACTACAAATCTCTGTGACCACCACAGTTCACTGGAAGGAGAGGCATCTCTGATTAAGGCTGAGTGTGATAATTTTCTATGGGTATAAACATACATATTTAGAAGGTCGTTCGACACTATGTCACTTTAGCTGAACAACAGGACTCCTAGGTTCTATGACTCTCTCCACAACGGGCTTTAGAAGGTATTCAAACATACTAAGTATGGATTCCCTCCTGAGGAGTGGTTGGCTAGTTCTGTAACAGTTGTGCCTTTATTGCACAAGTGCGTGCCTTGCCTAGCAGTTTGGTATCATAGTTTATAAGATCCACAGTGTGGTAAGACCACTGATACCCATCTACCCCCAGCAGCCTGAATAGTACTTCCAGCACTATGAAAGTTTACCATCGGGGAAGAGGATTCCACTTCATTTCCAGCTTGATCTCTTTATTTCACGAAGTCAAGGCGTGTGAAATCTTCAGCAATAGGCTCTTACAGTCTAGTTCTGGTGGGTATCCGGGAGGAATGGCAAGAGCTTGTGTTGTTTGGGGGCCTCCAGGGCCTCCCTGACTAACCCATACGGAGTTATTCAATACATGGCACTATGTTTGTTCGTGTTCCCGGCCATGTAGGATTTCTCCCTTCCAAGTCTAAAAAGATTGGTTAGGAGAGTGCAGGTTTCCAGTGGCTTTGCCATATCCCCTTTGTTTTCGGTGACCTTTCCTGTTGCCCCCTCATCTCCACATGCTCCTACCCATTTCCTACTTAAACCTCTTCACCTCTGACACTCGCCTCCCAATTTTATATTAACCAGACCTACTATCCTCTCTTTCTTAAGGAATCCCCTTCCAATGGCCTCTTTCTAGATTTCTGGGCTCCTCGTCAACTCTAAACTGAACACACAAGGATAGAGAGATTCCATTATGGGCCGCATATGAAGGAGAATGTGTGCATTTATTTTCTTGCAGCTGGGTTGCCACAGTATAATTTTTGCAGTTCCATCTATTTACCTATGGAAGTATGATTTTATAGTTACAGATGAGCTGCCATGGACTGGAGCTATAACAGTGGTAGAGTGTGCTTGCCTATATGAGTGAAGGCCTGGATTCAACCCCCAGTGCTGCTAAATAAATACATGAATAAATAGACTCTTGGTGTCAGCATGAGTAAAGACTGTTTCTAAGCACCAAAAAGAGATTGTTAATGAGGAAGGAATCTGTAGGCATCATCTGGATAAATTTCTTCTCTTACAAATGAGAAGAAAAAGAGAGAAAGCACACTGATTTGTTCAAACTACTTAACAGATCGATTTGAGGGGCAAAGCTGAGGTCTGTTCTTCATGGGCAGGGGTTTGCTGGGCGCTGGCAAATTGACCTTGTTGTTCAATGCTCACACAGCCTGTCCCCCTAAAAGAGACACTGCTCTTTTCCTGGTTCCATGGAGGCCTGGAGGAGTCCCCGGGAACTGTACACCTTTGAACCCAACATTAGGTTTGTGGGGCTGTGAGACCTCACCGTCTTTGTCAGAAGGCAGGAGAAGATCGGAGAGGGGTCCCTGCTCTCCTGTACTCATTCACAAATCTGGCAATTCATACCTGATATCCTAGCTTGTGGGAGGCTGAGGCCAGATGAGTGTGAGTTTGGGGCCTGGGCTAGTGAGATACTATTGTCAAAGAAGGAAGAAAGAGAGGAGAAGAGAAGGAAGTGAGGAAAAAAGAAAGGAGGAAGGGAGGGAGGAGGGGGAGGGGGAGGGAGGGGGAGGGAGGGGGAGGGAGGGGGAGGGGGGAGGGTGAGGATACCCATGAGTGCACATTCCTGGGTCTCCAGTCTTCCTCCCTAGCCTGACTTCTAGGTACTTGTTCCTGAAAGTGGTCACCCGTGGGGTTGGAAACATGGTCCAGTGGGCAAGAGCCCTAGCTGCTCTCAGCGTGCCAGAGTTTGGTTCCTAGCACCCATGCTGGGACAGGTCACAACTACCTGTGACTTCAGCTCTGGGTATGATACCATCTTTTGGCCTAGTGGGCACCCCCACTACAAATTCCCTTCTACCCTTGTCAACACTGCCTCGAGCATCCCCTCTGGTAGAATAGTGGCCACTCAGAATTGTATTCTAATAGTGCTGGCGTTGGCTCAGGGCCATGATGCCCCCAGGGCTGTGACTTCAGCGGCCCACCCAGTGTTCTCAGCCGGCACACAGCTGGGATTTAGCAGTGCCCATCTAGAACTCCTCTGTGGTGGAGGAACTGGCTCCCTTTCTTCCCTCTCTGTTGTGGCTCACTGGTTCCTTACCGCTGTAATTAAGGTGGCTCTGGGACCCAACATAGTAGGGAGATGTCAGATCTTGTGCCCAGCAGGCTGAAGTTCAGCGGGCTCTGCTTTTGAAGAATGTGGATCTCAGAGCATCCAGGGGAAGCCAGGTGTAGCTCTGGGCTTAGGCCTGACTGACAGTGCCTGAGGAATGGTGTGCTGGGGTTAGGACTCCAATTGCTGATGATCCTG